CCTGATTTCTGGCCCAATTTCCATTCTTTGCCAGTTGACTGTCACAGCGCCCACCCCTGAGACCTTAAGAGTGACAGGGAAAGGTGGCATTAGGAAAAGATGGGAAGTACCCTCCTACTCATCCCTCCTTACAGGAGGAAGCTGGGGAAGGGAGAGATGAGTGTTCCTGATTACCCCCTCCTTGCATGTGAGCCACCCTCTGCCTCAGCTGTGTATATGGGGCTGGTCCAAAGCCCATGGAAATCAATAGGAGTCTCTCTCTTAATGTCAGTGGGCTTTGGCTGAGGTCCCAGGAGCAGCAGGAGAGATGAGAACAGCTGAGGCAGGGAGAGGAAAAGACTAGTCAGCTACTGCATCCTACCCCTCAGTATCTGCACAGCAGGCTCTGGTGGCAGGAAGGAAGCCATTCTGTTTAAAAGAATCTAGTCCAGCAGCTGTCCTGGCCCAGCCTACCCTGTATGATCTGGTATAATGCCAAAGAAAGCAGGTCTGATCTAGCCTCATGTTCTCAGTGTGGTGCAGCAACAGCATGTAAGAATTTGTCTTCCTGCCTGAGCAGGTGGCCAGGGATCCATTTCTGATGCCCGCAAGGATAATGTTACGTTAATGAGCTTCACTTAGTTATTGTAGCAACAAATGTCATTAATGCCCATTGTGGTTTATTCAGCTCTTTTAAAAGCTCAGTCACAGTATTTCCTTAATTGAAACTGCCAGGACACCAGGGTGTGGTACAGCATGTTGGGGGACAGTAGTGACTGGTAAAACCTGGCTTCAACATCTAAAGCGATTCCTTTCACCACATGGGAGCAGGAAGCATGGAACTGGAAGAGTTCTCTCAGGCCACTGAGTCCAGTTCCCTGCATTCACAGGTAATCATTTGTCCAAAAGGTCCACAAGACCTCTGCACCTCTTGCACACCAGAGTCACAAAGTACTTGTAGCACATTGGAGTCCCAGGGTGGCTGTGATGTCTCCTGGTGGCTCCGCAAACGTGCCTCACTCTGCCCATAGGGTGCCCTGCATTCTATCTCTGCTGCCACGCCTTGATGTTAATTATGGTTCTAAAAGGGAGGTTTCCCCTGGCCCTTTGTATGGCCCCAGTCCAACTGAAGCTCCCCACTGGGGGTCCTTGGTACCCCACTGGTATCTACTGTGCCCAGGCCCGTAGCTGGGCCTCTCTCATCCCAGACCCCTCTCTGGGCCTCTCTGGTCAACATGCCCTGCAGGACACCTAAAGCCTTAGGGACTAAATGCATGGCTCCAATCCTCCACTACACCATGCCCCAAGCTTCACGGGTGTTATAATAATAATGTTCCGTCAGGGCCTCAGCTTCCATCCCTTTACACTAGCTAGGCCTTCTAGCCTGGGACCACTGTATCGGACCTGGCTATGAGGTACTAGCTCTCATTTGGCCTTTTCAGGCACTGGGCCCTTGGCCCCGTCTGCTCACGCCCCTCTTGGGCACTGGGTCCCAGGCCTCTATCTGGCTCTGTGTCCTTGCGCTCTGCCCCTCTCTGGGCTCAACAGTTGCTCAAGCCTTGAGCCTGCTCCTGGCAGGGCTCAAGGTGATTGCATGCCCCATGGGCACCACTGGGACCTCCATATACCACCCTGACAGTCCCAACCCAGTGTAAAACTGTAACTCAAACCATAAGCCCCTGGGCTATCACATAAACACCAAAAAGGAAAGAAGCCCTCTGCCCCTTTAAGAGGGAAAACCTTCCCTCATCCCTCAACTAGGATAGCCTACCAGCCCTGGGCTATATCCTAGTGAGCTCCCCTTGCCTCACTGGGGATCCACATGCGGCACCGCAATCACTCCAGGAATCTTGCTGCCAAGAACTCTTCACCCTGTGGCTGCCAGGGAGAGACTAGCCTGCTAGCCCAAGCCTCAGGCTTATATCCTCCAAGGGCCTTGCCCCCTTCAGGTCATCAGATTGCCTGGGCTGTCTACAGGTGCCTGCTAATTGGCTTAATCGCCCTGTAGCCATGGCAGCCTGCAGCTGCTGCACCCTGCTTGGCCTACAGTGCCCCATCACTGAGCTGCTTCTTCCCTAAAGGAACAGAGAGCCCCAGGCATGCCCCATCAGGGAAGATGACAGCATCATCAATGCCTTGACATACAGTGGTAGGGAACTACAGAAGTGAAAACATGCTTGAATGATCCTAGGAAAAGAACCATGTTCTGCACTACAGAGAAAGGACAAAAAAAAAAATCCCTGATTTCTTCCTAGCTTGCTCCTTTGGCCTTTGGGCTACAAGCGTGTGAGACTCGGGGGCATCTGAACTCCAAGTCTTCCGGGTTTGGGGCCCGCCCATAGGATGCCTTCATGGATTTGGGCCTGCCCATAGGATGCCTGCCTCAGGGTGAAGAGTTTGGGAAGGAGCATACTTGGTAGTAGCACCACACAGACTTGAACAATTGAGTTCTTCTCAGTCTACAGAATTCAAAACTGATTCGGCTAATTTGGCCTGAGACATTAAATTAAAAAAAAATAGTCCTTGACCTGTGAGAAAAATTTCATCCTGTCCCCAAATCTAGTAATAAGTTTGAGCCTGAGCACATGAACAAGGCCTTCCAGCCAGGCACCTCAGCAACTTCAAAATACTATCAGGAACACCTGCACACTCCAGTCAGACTCCCTGCAGCTGCAGCTCATGTCCAGTGCTTGAGAGACAGGTGGAAAAATAAACCCCACCAGAAGCCAAATGATGCATTTATGAGGAAAAAGCATTTCTTCTTGGCTTTTACAGGAGACCAACACTAGCCCTGAAGCATGGGATTTGGATGCAATTAGTTTCCTTTCAGCCCTTTCATGGGGATATAAAATACCAAAATCTACATAACATATACTCTAATACCCAGTCTTTCAAGCATTAGAGCTAGCACAGGAACAACAGGGCTCTTGGTCTGCAGTTAGCAAGGCAGTGTCATCAGAATGGAGGCTGCAATCTCCCTGCATGAATCCTGGGTGCCCTTCTCCATGCTTTGGAAATACAAGCTGTTCTAACCATGAACATGTAGTTTGGTAGGCACTTCTTCCTCATGAGGAAGCATACTTTTGAATCCCCCAATGGAAAATGAGATAACTTAATTGATTATTCTGCTTCATTGCACTTGCTTCAAACAGATCAGATTGACACTGGTGCAGGGGGACGCTAAGTGAACCAAAGAATGTGAATAAGAGCGATGGACTATGGGCAAATCAAACTTCACAGGTCCCTTGCACTTTGAGGATGAAGGTGTCCCAGAGCAACCACAATGCTTCCTGCTTGAGCCTATACTCAAAAGTTTCAGCATGTGCCAATTATCTCCTAAATGGGTGCTGAAATCCAGCCTGGCATTGTTCCAAGTGCAACTGTTAGCTAAGGATGACTGTCCTGCTATTAGACAGGTGCTAAATAATAATACTACCATACATTCTCACATACCACACACCCCAAATAAGACATGCACTTTGATTTGGGAAGGCAGAATGAATTTAGAAAAAGATTTTTTTTCAGAGCCATGCTGAATGCAGACTACTTTTAGAAGGGACAGTCTACTCTTCAGCATCACTTGCTCTGTCCTTGCAAGCTCCACAGCTAAAGCTTTAACTTTATCACAGCTGCTGACAAAAGCTGTTGCCAATTCATCAGCAGCTGTGGTAGTGTTAAAATTTTAACTTTGGAGCTTGCAGAGAGAGTAAGTGACAGAGGTGTATATTCTACCACTCCTGCATATGGTCAGGAATCCAGTATGGAGCCAGCCCTCAGTAACTAATCCAGTATCCCCATGCCTCCATTCCAGAATGGAAGTAAGCTTTCTTGCTTACAAAAATACATCACAATTTTGAATCAATAATTTGGGGGGACAGAAGGGGAACTGTGTATGCTGTATGTGAATAAATACAGTATTTAAAGCCCAGTCAATACTTTCCATTTTCAAAGTGCTGAACAAACAAGCATTATCTACATTTAGTAGAAGATAAATTGAGGTGGGGAGAGTATGGCCCTGATTCAGGAATGCATGTCAGCACATACTTGGGGTTAAGAATGGACTTGTATGCTTTTCGGAATAGGTTTGGATTTCAGCAGGTTTACATGCTTTCTTGACTGGAGACCTTGGTGATTTGCCCAACAGTGTGGGCTTGTTTGCACTTGAAAGATAAAGCATACATTTAAAGCAAACTAGCTATTCCAGAAGAAGTCCTGGTGCAACACACTTATTCCAGGGAGCCATCCTAGGACAGCCATTCTGGTCAGCCTTCCCCACAGAGACAAGTCCTAAATCAGTGGCAGAACCAGGATTAGAAATAAGGCTTTCATCTTCAGGCATTCTCAAGTCAGGAGCATGGAGGTGCAGAGCATTGCTATACTTGCTCTTCACTACTGGAAATAATAGCTGAAATACTGCTTATTTCATAAGGGGTAGTGAATTCATTGGTTGCAGCCCAATACCCATTTGTCTGTGTTACAAAAACTACCACACTTTTCAGGAAACTTGTTCACTGCTGCTCAGGAGAGGCCCCAAAAAGGAACAGCAGGACAGGAGCAAAGAGCACTGACAAAGCTATAGTAGGGAACAATGCTAGAAAACCAAGGGAGATACAAGGTCAATCAAGAGGTGCAGACAGAGGCCCTGCTAGGTACCATACAAAAGTCATTATATACATCATACCGTGTCATTATCCATTCACTCCCACAAGCACCAAATTCATTCACAGATTAAAAATTAATACAGGAAAATGCAACAGGGAACAAACACATTTCCCATATAACCATGGCAAGGACTCAAGACTGGGTGCTAGGGTGATATAAGAGATGACTCCTGTGTAGAGTGCATGTTGAAAAGTCTTTATGAGGTTCACTGAGCAGCAGGATGTGGGTGTCAGGCCATGAGGGACCCAGGACTTACCTTTGTCAACTCCTGAGCATTGGCCAGGTTGTCCACAGCGATGGCCAAGAACACATTCAGCAAGGTGTCTGGGGGATGTTTAGGGTGAACAAGCTATGAGATAATGAAGTGAACTTTTACAGCTGCTAATGGGAGGACATATGCAACTCCCCTCCCACCTCCAATGAATGTGACAGCTTCAAAGAGAGGGACCAGGCTGCTGAGGGGCCCTTCCTCGATTAAGACACAAATAATCTGATTTTAAGAAACCGAAAGAGGCTGGACTGAAACCAGTGCTAAAGGAAAGGAGTCCCTCAGACAGCCAAAGGCATCCTCCCAGTGTAAGATGAGAGTAGAGAGTTTCTAGGATGTTCGACTTCCTTCATGTGTGAAAGGGGTAATTATAGGGCCATGCCCTCATACCTCCAAGTGTGACAAAGAGGACACTCTGGGATACCTGCTTCCTCAATTTGAATCCATGAGGAAGACTACTGTTAAAGGGGGAAGAAAGTCTCATCTCAGAGAGAGAGATCTAGAATAAAGGACTGTCTCTCTGAAATATAGTAACAAGAAGGATACAGTTTCCAAACAAAGTGAGGATGATGAAGTAGATGGAGGACCACATGCCTGAGCGGACTCCTCCCTGGGAGCGGATCCCATTGTACATCACTTCGTTCCAGTCCTCACCTGTCAGGATCTGAGCAAAGAAGCAGGCAGCTCTGTCACCAATAATTATTCTACATGTAGCCCACCAGTCTGATACCTGCAAACGTGTAAGACATGGTCCAAATCCCTTGTTTCATGACTAACCATGTCCCACAAACATGTTAAGCTGTGAGAAGAGGCATATTCTAGGGTGAATATCTAGTGAGTTTTGGAATATACAGTGCATGACAGCAAGACTCAGAATTTTAATTTTAAATAGATAAAAGAGCAGTTCCTCACCCTGTTGCTTGGTTCTTTGTGTCAGTATAAGCAATAGAGTCACCCTAACATAAAACTGAATATAGCTGCATGGAGAATCAGGCCCCTGACTTCTAGATCTATTGCCTACAAGGAAGACATTCTGAAAGTGAACTGCCACAGTATCCTGGGTCAAAATCTACAAGGCCAGAGTGATCACAGGGTAAAAAAGTCAAGTAGTCTTGTTTTTACATTAGCAGTCTTAGGCCCCTACCTGAAACACAGTCATGATGGCTGCAGGAAAGGTGTCAAAGTTTGCAGAAGGAGTTCCATCCATGAAATTAAATCTGAAAAGGAACCAAATGGACAAGCTAGAATACAGAGCTGGCACCATACCACTGATTAGTATCCTTCCAGTTCTACTGCTCCTGCGGTAGCCTATCCTATCCCCTCACCTTTTTCCTGTTTTTATTCCTTCTATGGTCTCTATTTCACCTCTACTATAAGACATATTAAAATCTCTTCATCATAGGCGCAAAGATCAGAAAGAGTGCCATTCCCTAGTGGAAATGAGTTGTAGGGCCATTTAGAAGAGGGAGCATTCTTGGTAATCTGGTATGAAGTAGGAGGTCAAGGTCCAAAATCCATATCTCCCTTAGAGGCATGGAAAATATTAGCATTTGCCTTACATAAATGGGCTCCATCTCCCTTGGCCTTTCAGCCACTTACCTGCCTCCAAACAGCTGCATTCCCAACAGAGCAAAGACTACAATGAAAAGGAAAAGGAGGAAGAGCAGACTGATAATAGACTTCATGGAACTCATCAGTGAGACCACCAAATTCCTCAGGGATGCCCAATACCTGGAAGATAGAAACATTACTGTACTATTATCCATTGGAAAGTGCAGGACCAAGGGAACTGGGATCTGTGGCAACAAATGCAACAGCTAGGACATAGAAAAAAAGAAGTGAAAGGTCTGTGTGGCTGGAAGGGTCAGGGATCTTATCAGGCAGGGGAGCAGGGTCCCTTTTCCATACTTTGTTATTTTAAATATTCTCAGAAGCCGGAGAGCTCGTAGAACACTGATCCCGAAAGAAGTCCCTGGTCTGAAGATGGCCCACACCACTTCAAAGATGCTTCCCACTGTGACCTGAAGGATGAGAAACACTCATGAGCCACAGAGCACGTTGCCATAAGTCAGGCCTAGAGATGAGAACTAGGGCAATTACAGGAAGTCAGTCTCCTATAAGTAACTGGGCAGAGTCCCTTCTCCCTGAGCTTCTGATTTTGCAGTAGTGAATAGAAGCCCTGTTGTCACTTACTGGATCTTGTAAGGTAGCAAGTAAGTGAACAAAAACACAACTTTTGCTAGTGGAAGGAGTCAACTCCCTTATATCAGAAAAGTGGGGGGAAAATGCTTCTGATCCATTGAGCTGCTTCCTGCTCCAAGAAGTAAAATGTTTCATCTGATGTTCACCTCAACTAGATATCAAAGCAAAATAATCATTAGGCTGTATTCCAAGGCTGGGAACTTAGATCACAGTCTCCCAGTGTAGTAGACTATTTCCTCTCATAGGTCTCTTTTCCCTGTTGCTCTCAGAAAGACCTGTCCTGTTCAGAAGCATAACTGATTAGATTTTTATCCTGGGTGCAAACTCCAGTGAGCCCTGTGGGGTGTCACTGAATCCCATCACCACCAGAGTATCACAACACTGAATTGAGTAGCACTTCCCAGTATAGCAGCACCTCCCCACTGCTGCTGCCTGCCCCTCCCTGAGTTCTATCCCCTCCCCTCTTTCAATTACCTTGTGGATCCCCTTAGTGCACAACATGTCCCTGTCTGTATCACTTGCTGTCATCTCACATGCTGCTTACCCCACAGTCAAAGCAGTTGAAAGAGGAGTGGAAATAAAGGCGTGGCCCCATTCCATACATCTTTAAGGACATCTCCAAAAGGAAGAGCCCAAGAAACAGGAACTCTGCATAGTCTGAAAAGGGAAATCCAGGTGCATTAGCTACACGCCTGAATCTCTTTACTCATGCCTACAATACAGCGCAAAGGGTTGACAGGCTGACCCCCTCCATGTGTAGCCAGTTCAAACCCTCAGCACCCAAGCACATATATCTACTTACTAATAATCTAAGAATAACTCTGTTAGCCCTTTCCAACAGCAGGTTAGACTAGCCTCTAGATGGGAACATGACATGCTATACCAGCATACCATGCTTTACATTTTGAGGGGTCTTGCATAAAGAGACTTCAGTAACCCACTCAGAACACTATGCAGATGAGGCAACTCAGTAGGGGACTAAGTTGTTTTTTCACCGGCTGACTAGGGAAGAGGTGTGGAATTGGCCCAGGGGATATAGGAAGGTTGTGCGGACTGGGGTTCTTAACTTGGCGAAACAAAAGAACTCTTACATGCAGGCTAATCTTTCAAGAGGTGTGTGTGTGTGTGTCAAATGAAAGCATGTACTCATGTAGGTGCACACACATCTTAGCAAAATGCAGCAGCTGTTTAACAACACTCCAGTTTTAGAGAAAGAAACAAAGAACTTATCCAAATGAAACAGCAGGGAAAGATTAGTAACACTAACCATTGCTTGGATTGGCCAGGACACTGAGGTTAACAACTGAAGGCTTGTGAAACCTAACACAAGATCTTTCATGAATATTAGTGGTGAAGTCATTTTTTTTTCACATTGTGTCCAGATGACTGTCATTACCGACCAGGTAGCAGTATGTAGTGCTGTACTCAGCACATCTTAACAAGCTACTCAGAGTTAGGCTTGAGCAGTATTTGAAGAAACAGGTTTTAAGGTAAAGCATTACTAGCATAGATTCAGCAGGTAGTACTCTTCCAGGTGCATCAGTACTGCACCAGCATGGGGGAAGTACATTGCTGTCTGTTTAGTGAGCTGTAAAACTGAGGTTCTAATTACTTATAGTCATCAAAGATTTATGGTAATTTTTAATAGTAATTGTGATAACCATGGTGCCACAGGCAAACTCTAATTAAGAATTACATTCTGCCTACCTGAAATCCTCACCAGTTTGTGTTGGTTGCAACTACTGCTCATTGTGCCTTGATCTGTTGGGTAATGCTACTATGCTCTCTTGAACAACCCAAGGATGGCTACATTTCTGTGCTAGAAGAAATGGCTTTTACTTAATTCAGAAGGGTGTTAATTACAGCACTACAGAAGTGTAAATGTATTATTATGTCCCCAGGACAGTCACGTCCCTTAGAAACTGTATTGGATCTGGGTGACACAAACCTAATAAATCTCATTCATCTTTATGCCATAGGATGACAACACCACCAAAAATGATTTCAATAACCATGAACAAGAAAGAGAATACCAGTGAAAATCTCCATATCCAGTATTGGGGATTCTGGTAAGAATGGCAAGTATGACACTTCTTTCCCTGCAGTTCCATGACAGTCTGACTCCACTGACTACAGTGGAATGCACCTCATTGGAATCAGACCCAGTGTCTCCAACATATAACAATGTTCCTGCGAGTTGCTGCCCCCAACAGCCTTGCTGGAAGGGAGAAAAACATGTCCCAATCTAGGATTTCTTGGGGCTCAAAGCAGTCACACAATCTGGCCCTAAGGCTAGGAGTTTTGTTTTCTTTGATGCTCCTGGCTTCCTGTGACATGCACAAACAAAGATAAAGGCTAGGAACTCACAGAGCAAGTGGGTGAGCCACAATGGCTGGTTGTGATGGACAATGGCCACGCAGGCAGTGTTGAGAGCCACAAGGCTCAAGACGATCCAATAAAACACCTGGGATTTCACCATATGGCGAACGGAGATACGCAAAAGTCGCTCCTTGTGCCGGAAATAAGAGGCACCATCCACTTTTGCACTCTTGATGCTGGAGCGAGCAAGAGGGGTCCCTGAGGCAAGAGAGGAGAGAGGCCAGCAGAAATCAGTAGATGAAAAGGAATCAATGCTGAGATTCTGCTCAGCACAGGAAGTGATTGGGTCAAACTCCCAGGAGATGGGAATCACTACTTCCATCCTCAAGGACCCTGCTAATTGCAGAAGGGTTTATTTGCCAGTCCTTAAACTACTTCTGCAATGCCCCTGAAAGAGACTGGGCAGGGATTACTCCCTATACTAATAACTAATCACAGCAGAAGGTCCATAGCCATCTCTAGCTGGACTTAACAATTCTCTGCAATGACTTGACAAGATTATTGGGTGCATAAAAAACTGGTGGGAAGAAGACTCTGGACTGGACTGAACTGAACCTGGATTCTGAGGAACAGTCCCTAGGGACCAAGCTGACTGCCAAACAAGCATCCACTCACCTACAGAGGAAATATCAACGCAGTGTTCATCACTTGAGTCACGATTCATGGCTTCTGTCCGGTTTCTTTTGATAGTAGCTCTCCTGAGCACTAGAAATGAAGGAGAAAATAGCTCTAATAACCACTGAATTTAAATGATGCTAGCAATTCATTTGTTCATGTGCTGTCTAGGTTGCTATATGGTGATTGGGTCACCAAATAGGCCTGCAGTTCATTTCCCAGTACTAGTCAGTCAGACGACCTGTGAGGCAGGTTGTAGTTTGGTTCCACGGTCTCTCATGTGTCATATCTCCATTCAAAGAAAGATGAAATTAGTTCCCTCCTGCTCTATCATGTTGAAATCCTGCTCACCAAAAGAAACTGCACATTCCCAGCATCCACTCAAATCAAATCTCTGTTCCCCACTACTCTAGGGATTCAAAACACAGCTTTCAGGTGGGTGCAAGGAAAGGAATGTAGATACTTTCAACAGCACAGCTGTCTGTCTTCCTTACCTTCTAAAGCTGAAGTTCCAGCATTTTTATTCTCTTCAGCCAGCATTACTTCCTCTACATAAAAAACAAATGGTTTAGTACCAGCAATATAAGATAACATAGGAATGGTCAGGAGTAACTGCTACAGTGTCGCTGGACTCTTGTACATCAAAACTAAATGAGAGTCTTACCATGGGTTGCTAACCCTTGTATGGTGACAGGTAAACGAGCAAACATGATTTTACAGTGGTGCAGAGGGTCAGCTATATGACACTACATCCAAGACATGGAACAAAGAGTAACTTCAGATCTACTGACCTGCTTTCTCCAAGATTTAATAACTTCCCTAATGTCTTACATTACCTATAACCTGCCTTTCTAATCCAAACAGAATTTTCCATCAGATAAAAACTGTGCAAGTTGTTTCTGAATGATGGTTTTGCAGATGAGGCTTAACCTGGCAACTCCCAAAGCCCCTCTGTGATGATGCAGAAAGTGCTTGGGGGGCTTTATTTCCTATGCCAGTAACCAAAGAAAACAAAGGCTGTGTTATATCTACTAATTTTTTAATTCATTTTTATCAAGAGTTCAGACGTTATCGAAGATGGCAGGTCAGCATCATGATTTTTTTAGCTGCAATACCTTGGGGAAGTCAAGGAAAGGATAATATACAGAACAATATGGACTTAGAACAGAAAAGAAATCTAGCTATGGAACATATTTAAGGCCAGAACCTTGCTTGGTATAGAAGGATACAACTACATCCATTTATACCAGATGAAAGTTTCTGGCCATGAATGTCATCATCATTCTTGAAAACAAATGAAATTAGTAAGCTCAGCACAATCTGTTGGTTTCGGTGGGACCAAGTTTTCAGAAGCTACAATTTATCCAAACTTCTTGAGTCTACAAAACATGCCTGGAAATCTCAACCGTCTTCCTCAGGATTTTCAGTACCTGCTTCCAATGATATCATGCGAATAACTAACCTTTCTTATGCATTTTGGAACTTTCAGTTCTGTTTCCGACAGAACCAGGAAGTACAAAGACATGTGAAAAAGAACCTTTTTTAGGATAAAAAGAGGTCTGAAACAAACACTGAATAATGACCACCTTTGGAACCAAATCCAGATCCACTGCTGAGCTTGGTGATTCATGCTCAATCTTTACATGAATAGGACTTTTTAATATAAATCTTGAATCAACACTCAAGCCTCTTATTCTATCTGAATCAGTTCTGCGAACCCTATAAGCCGTAAGACCACAACAAAGTAGGGCTGGAAGGCACTTCTGCAGGTCATGTGGTATAACTCATACTCAAGGCAGGGTCATCCCTATCTAAATCATTCTAGCCAAGTTTTGCCTAACTCGTACTCCCAGTGATAGGCATCCTACAATCTAAGGTAATCTATTCCAGTGCTTTAATACCATAGAGATAGCGTCACATATTGTCCAACTCAAATCTTCCTTGATGCAACTTAAGCCCATTATTTAGTGTCCTGTCCCCAAAGGGCATCAAGAACAATTGATTTCCATCCTCTTTATAACCACCCTTTTAGTATTTTAGACTATTACTAAATTCCCTGTTGGTATGTAGACTAGACTAGCCTAGTTCAATTATTTACACATTAAGATGTTTTCTAGACATCTAATTATTTTTCTTACTCTCCTTTGGAATTTCTCCAGTTTGTCCACATTTTTCTTAAAGAGAAGTGCCCTGCACTGGATACACTCCTCCATGCACAGCCTCAACATTTCTGAACTGAGTGGAGAATCAGTTCCTGGAGCTTGCATGTAACATTCTTGTTAATACATTTCCATATGCATATTGGATTTACATTGTGGACCCATGACCTAAGGATAGCCCTTTGGTTAAATTCTTCAGTGATAAATGATGATGTTAGTTGCATATTTGTGGCAAGATTAAAAAAGATGCAGTAGACCAAATTTATGTCTTATCTGTTTGGAATTCTGTAGCTCTGCAGAAAATATTTCCCTTTCTTAGATGTAGTCCCACGTAAGGAACAGAGGACAAAAGAGGTGGAGAATATTGAGTGCATCTACTCAAAAATCCTGCAGTGGCCAAACTAGCTGGAAAGTAACCAACTAAACCCTTGCTCCTTTAAGTCCCCCCACACTGTGGTAGATAACTCCAGTGAATAGAGAGCCCCACACAGTCCCTCAGAATTGTAGAATTCCTACTCTTATAGCAAGCAGAGTTTCGGTATTTAAAATATTATGAAATTGGTATCTCTTAATAATTTCTACACACAAGATCTTTAATAAAGTGAAGCTAAGGTTGTAAGCATGTACCCATGACTTGAGGGTATATAATCTCTCAGTACAATCCATCATTAAAATAACATCACAAAAATAAAACTTAGAACCTCAGAAAACTCAGAATTAAGGTCAAACTAGATACCTCAATCTTTAGGAGCATGGAAGTTTTCATGGCTGTATTGGCAAAACTGCCTTAACTGTGTTCCCTGGAAAGGTGCCAACCTCCTGTCAGCTCTTCTTTGCATGCAAAATATTAAAAATATACGCCACCAAACATGGGTGTTATAATCTGTTTTGTACTGCCATATTTCTGACATGGGTAAGCGCTTTGCTGGATCAGCACATTTGCTGAGGCTATTTCATGTGCGTGCTCTGAGTTCATAATATGAACACAGGAGAGTTCTATGCATGGAAATGTAGTCACTTGGAATAAATGGACTGTTCAATGGCTTCTTTACTCCTGAGCCCAGCAACTCTCAGGACCAGCTTATTAATGTGCCTGGTGCGCTGCTTAAAACCACTCTTCACTCTGTACAACCAGAGGGAAGCATAGCTGGTCTGGTCTCAGTCTTACAATGAGCTATTTGCAGGGATGTATCTACCGGGATGGAGTTCACTGCTGGATTAGCAAGGGGGAGATTCTGAGTGGTTAGGATTAAGGTGCTCTCCTTGTTGTGACTACTGATTACCTGAAATCATTTGTAAATGATGGAAAAAGATGAGTTTCAGATTTCCTCATGGCATCGCTATGGAGAAAGAGTTAAGATACTTTAGCTGTATCTCTGGTCAGCCAAGCTGTCTGCCTCTTGGTTTTCCCTGTTAAATGCCATAGGCACGTCTGTGCAATGCAAGGTGGTATCATGCAGAGATACCAGAACCATCTGCATGCAGTAGCTCTGGAACTGAAAGCCACGTGACTGCATTAGCATGATGCTGTGCATGGACTAACTGGCTCAGCTGAGAAGCAAGGCTTATGGGTCCTGGCACAGGACTGTGTTAACACAGCGATATTGCTTCCTGTTCCAGACTGAATGCCTGCAGTGCTGCCTTGTGCCAGGCAGACTCCAATATGTGAGCAAATGCATTCACAGCTGGTCTAACATATCCCTATACAGTACTGTGCTGTGTTGAGCGGTCATGCTCCTGGAATACCAACCTGAGCACACACCCTGGAGACGACAAGCTAACCCCTGCCATCAGTCACAGCTGTGTAACCTCATTTGACTCATTTGACTGATACAATGTCTTAGCCAAGTGTAGAATTTGGCCCACCTGTGGTAATTGAAAGGAGTCACGGCCTCCAACACATAATTTAGTTTCAAGTAACTAGAGTATTTCTCCAACCCCAGTGAAATATTTTCTGGGGGAGGCATGAGACATTGACAGTCTAGGCATGGAGGAAGAGCCAGAGAAACTCGTGGAGCCACAATCTGTAAAGCACATAGCTAATTTATTAATCAGTCATGGCAGCCTCCTACTTTCCAGACACCTGCTGTACTCCAGAGCAAATGCAGCAGCTCCACTCTGCTGAGGCAGCAGGGTCACTTTGTCATTCCCACTCACACACTGACCGTGAGGAAAACCCATGACCCTCACCAGCCTTACCTGCTTTATCTATCCAGGCCCTGTAGCCGTTCAGCTCCCGCTCAATCTGCTGCTGTCGTCGCAGTTTCATGAAGGCTCTGCGGTTCTCCACTCTCTCTCTCTCTTTGGCAAATTCCCTAGAAACACAGAAGGGCAACACTGTTTTTACTGAGAGCATGCAGAAGGGCCAGGGCAGAGGTCGGGTACACTGTGGGACAACTGGAGTGGGGGCTATATGCAGGGCATCACAGCAAAGCCAAAGAGGGTATATGTGCACAGCCCTCCACCTGGGCAGATGGATTTTTATATGCATTAAAACAAAGCTATGGCAAGTGGCTTGCTTGTACATTGAAACATAGCTCCGTGTCTGTGTGGTGGGGTGGGGAGGTTATATGATCATTGTAACACTGCCAGGTCAGGGCATATGTGTAGGGCAGCTGGGATGCACACACACAGCAACACAGCTGAGGCAGAGGTGGAGCATGGGAGGTGACCAAAAGCTGTCTGAAAGCATTGTGGTGTAAGGGAGAGAGGTATGAAGACATATTGTGGGTTATCATCTTCCCTCCTGCAAGGGCTCTTCAACCTCTATTAGTGTCCTCTTAGTACTGCTTCCTGGTCCTCTCTTCTGAAGGACCAGGACTCTAGGATGACTGCACAGAATGTGGGCTGGCAGGGTTAGAGCAGCAGCCTACCTGGGAAGGACAAGAGAGCTGGTAGGTAGAGGGATGGCTGAAAGTCATCTTGGTTGGGACAGGGAGGCACATAGGAAGGCAGGAGGATGTTGGAGGCAGATGGAAATGTAGCTGTCTGACTGAGGCACATGGAGGGAATGCTGGATGGAGCAGATGGAGGAAGGGAGCAGACACACTGAGCCAAAGGACAGCTATACCAGGGATGAATGAGACAAATGGATGAATGGATGGGACCAAGATACAGATGGCACAGATCAACATTGCAGTAGGTGGATACAGGGTGGGGAATGGGAAGATGGTAAGAGTCGGGAAGATTTGTTAGAGGAATCAGGCTGATGAATGTGAACTAAAATCCCTGTGCTCTCCAAGTCATCTGCACAGCATCCCTGACCGGGATTGCTCCTGCCAGTCCCCAGAACCTGTTCCAGGCAGGCAGACTATTGCACCATTTGGCTCTGGGCCTTACCCATCCCTCCCTCCTCCCTGAGCCTACAAAGCTTTGCCGCTCCACTGACCCCTTCCCACTGGGTGGGAGGCACTTGTGGGTGGGACGCCCAGACAGTACTGCAGATTCCTTGGCGATCATTCACTTGGCTCAGGCTGCAAGAATGGCAGATGGGACTGGGGAAGGGGCAGAGGCAGTGGGTGAAGAGCCAATGCTGTGCATCTTGGTAATGGGGGGGAGGGGGAAGGCTGGGGCAAGTAAAGGCAGACTCTGCAATCCCTGATTCAGCGAGTGAGGCGAGAATGTTTGTGCTGCCTGAGTCGATGCTCGCTCATGCTCACTCCCTGCCCATCTCCCAGTGAGATGCTTATAATTCCACTCAGCCGCGGTGTGCTGGCTTTCGGCAGGCAGCGCTCCTGTGTACACAGACTGCAGTGAGGCTGAGGGAGTGGGGGCGAGAATGCATTATTAAGACAAAATTTATTCCACTGCAGCCCTGCACTAGTTTTGGTGAATCGGTTCAAGGTGTGGAAGGGTGGGGCAGGGGCTAAAGAGGAGCATGATGAGAGGGCCTAGAAACATCAGCCTGGACTGGAAAATGCTGGCTGCAAGCAGATGGCAATCTGGAGCCCAGACTCACTTCACCTCCTGTCCAGCAACCCCCTTCCTTCCCTGCCCACCTCCCACCCCTCCACACTGAACTGCACAGCAGCAAAGTGGACAACTCAGCACAGTAATGAGGAGGGGAATAAAAAAATAACCATGATGACCAGGTGTACATGCTTTTCCAGTCTCATTGCATTGCACTGACACCGATTAAGCACCTCCTAAGGAAAGAGTTTCTATATATCTGTCCTGGGAAATGGATAGGGCAGATACCCCATGGGTGCAGCCTTGCCATTGTCTGGTTTCACAGACTTTTTGGGGAGAAGAGGCTCTGGGTGGGACTCACTAAAGGGCTCTCAGCTGGGCAATAGTTGATGCATCTGTTGCAGACTGAGCGCCCAGAAGTTCAGCTGCCAAACACTGAGGTTGTGTTCCTTCCATCAGGATATGGCTTTGTTTTCTCCTTCAAAGCATCCTTCTCACCATCACAGAGTTTACACATGCTCTCCCATTGTCATACCTTTAACCCAGCCACACTCTGACTTCCATCCTCTGCAAATATCTCCTCCCCCCACCACAACTCCTGACATCCCATGTCCCTACAGCTGCTCCTCTCTATGGCAAAGCTTGTGTGCCTTCCTCTCCCTGGGCAGCATGCCCCAAAGTGTCTCCTACATGTAAACCCACTCAGTTTAATCCCCTCCTTCCCAACACATGCAGGTACTCCCAGGATTATCTAGGTCCCCCAAGACACTCCTCCTTTCCCAAGCATCATCCTGCTTACTCAGTCCAACAAAATCCATCTGCTTGACCCTTCCTCTCAACACCTCTTCCCCATCATTGTCTCCTTCCTCTCCCAACTCCACCTCAGTATGGCTGGCTCACTCCCATTACCTCACTGACTGAAACAGGCTCTTCACCTGCCTCCTCTTTGGGTTCCCACATCTACTCACACACTCCTCTGATATCCTACCTCCCTCCACACAAAAAAATCTGTCATGACTCCTAACTATAACCTACTCACTGTGTTTTCTTCATTTGCCCAAAACAGTCATTGCCAACCTTGTGCTTGCATTAGCAACCCTGCCAAGGGTCACCTACTTTGCTGGCTCCCACAGTACCCTTCACACAAACTCCACACCACCCAGCATTCTCTGCCAACATCACATAGCAAATCTCCATCATTATAGTCCCTCTCATTACTGTACTTGCTCCTCCCATGGTACCTCACTCCAATGGGCACCTAAGGTCCTCAGTTCCATAATCCCTGTCTCCAGCAGACACTGTGCTCACTCCCTTCCCATAGACTCCCCTGAACGGCTGCCTTACCCCCATCTCTGACCACTACTCCACCTGTGGTTACCTCCTGTGAGCCCATTAGGTTACCATCTCTGCCCTCAACCTCTAGCTCCAACCTCCCCCACCCTATCAGGTCTGTACATTTTTTCTGCTTTGTTTGAAAATAACCTTGGGATCTAATTGCTTGGTCTCAAGTCCTGCTCTGGGGCTTGATATTTCTCCAGAGTGCCTGTGTATCAGACTATGTGATACTGGGTGCCCCCAAGGCTCAGCAGATACAGATTTACACACTTTACACCTCACCATGCCGAGCACTAAGTGAGACCAGAATTTCTCCTTCTTGTTCTAAGATGCCACAGACTAAGGTACAGTGTTTTCTCTTGTCCTTCAAGTGAGAAAGGGTTATTTCATCCTGACATAAACACTCCCAGAATTGTTCCTCCCCGCCAGTTTTGCAGCAGCTCAGTTTTCCAGGAAGGACAGTTGACTAAGGGAACGAATGAAAAAGGAAAAAATATTAAGGTTAAGTCCAAAGGCAAAAATAGAGTCTAGTACGGAGGTCGGCCTGCAAAGAGTTTGGATGTGGCCCTAGTGGATAATCAGGATAAGGAGGGATAATTGGCAATTACTGTGGTGTTGGCCATGATTACTGGTGGCATATGATAAGTGAAGGTTGCATTAGGGGGGCAGCAGCAGGGGATCAATGGCCTGCACCACTGACCTGGTTACAAGCAGCAGTGCATGCTCATAAAAGTTGGCTAACCCCAGACTTACTTCCCCCTCTAAAGGCACATAATGCTCCCCAGGGCCCTACCAGCTGGCCAGATTAGCCAATGCATTGAGACCCCCAAGTTATGCTGCTATTAAGGCAGCCCAACAAGGAAACCACTGGTTACTTGGAAGCAGTGGTAACCACTGGTTACCACTGCTTCAACTCTCATATTCAAACAGTCTAGTAGTATTTCACCAAGTCTAGTGGCCCATCTCATTGGAGGATACAAAATGCCCATGTTTCAATACTGCATGAGGCGAGGGAGAAGGTCCTCCTTAAACATGAGGCTTGAGAATCCTTGCAATTTTATCTTGGCTAATGTAATTATGTTTATTACTGTTATTATTTGTATTGCAGTAGTGCCTAGCAAACCTAAGCAAGCTTGAGTCCCTATTGTGCCAAGTGCTGTACAAACACATTGGAAGAAACAGTCCTCAACCTGGAGAATTTCCAGTCGAGAGAGACAAGATAAACAAAGGGTGGGAGAAGGGAAGTATTGCCAAACCCATTTTTACTGAAGGGTAACTGCAACTCAGAGAAGGACAGAGGAAATGGACTCCTAGACCAGACCCATGGTTCACCTGCTTCAGAAGGCAGTCCCTAACAGTGAACAGCACCAGACACTTGACAGGAAGGTACAAGAACCCCTTCAGTAGGCAAGTGCAGGATAACCTAATGCCCACATGGAGTCTCATCCTGGTCTCTAAAGAGCTTCATAGCCTGAGCTGGGAAACATAAGGCTCAACAGCCATTCCAAAATGTTTATAATTATTAATTATAACAACTCCAGAGAGATTTACCATCTCTACAGGCGTCCAACCCCTTTGTTGAATCTTGCTATGTTCTACTGTTGATCTTATCAAGATCATATGGCAATGAGTTCCACAGTCTAATTTTGTACTGGGTGAACAATTTCTCTCTTTATTGGGATTTAGATTTGCTGCCTTTTAATGTCATCAAATGCTCCCTTTGTTCTTTTGTCATGAAACAGCAAGAACAGAAACTTCCAATCTACCATGTCTAGATGATTCATCAACATACATTTCTATTATCAATTCCTTCCCAGGCAGACAATTTCAATCTTTTCTCTCTTCCCTCATATGAGAGTTTTTTGGGGCTCTGAATATTCTCAATACACTTTTTCTGTAGTCTCCTTTCTGAAATGGGGTGACCAGAACAGCAAACCAGATACCAGATGGGCAATGCCACTAAAATGTTCATAAAAGCACTGTGATATTTCCCATATTGCTAAAGATACCCACCCTTATAGAGCCTAATGATTTGTTTGACCACAAGAATCATAATGGGAATTTGTAATAG